TCATGGTTCAAGAAATATTTTTTTAAGCCAATTCGTTTTTTTTTTTATATGAATTGGTTTAGATTTCGGTTCTGAAATGTTTTATTTACAACTGAGCCTTACTTTCGTCTGGATAAAAAAAGGACATGTGACTCGACTAAAGCTCGAAGATGCAACCGAGTTCCTTTTACATACTTTTGCACGACTGCAATACACCCTGTTTTGGGCATTATCAATGGATACAGGGTATTAAAACAGAGTGCGCACAGTTTGTTGTTTAGTTTGGCTGCTGCCTGCTGTTTGTTTGCTCGTTTGTTTGTCGCTCCTCGTTTGCTGTTCGCCGTTCGCCGTTGCCCGGTTTCCTGCAATTTGCGCGCAGCCAGCGCTTCCTCTTAAGCGAAGCAGCGCAGCAGCGCCGCAGGTGTTGCCGCAACGTCGACGCCAAAGTCGACTGCTATCTGCGCAGCTTTCCTTTTTGACACACCATTTTGCATGTTGCATGAGCTGCGCGAGTGTGTGTGTGTGTGTGTGTCGCATATGTCACTTGTCCAAATAGCAGCGACGCTCACCTGTACTCGTTCGCAGGTGTGAGGGGCGGGAACGGGGACGAGTAGCCGTGGCTACTGCCGGGCGTCTGGCCATGCATGCAAATGCAACATTTGCAACTGTTTGTGCGGCCATGTTGTTAGCTTCCCCCTTTTTTTTATGCTCTGTACGACAAGGTGGCAACACTGACACCAGCGACAACAACAACAGGAACATGGACCGGCAGTAATTTGGCCACCTTTGCGCTATGTTTGTTTTGGGCAGCGAGCAGCGCCATCAAATGAACCCAGGGACGCGTGTCGGCTGTAAGGGAGCAGGGGGCAGGGTTACCCGGGATTTAGGGGTTAGGAGTGCTATCAAATTCAAGCGACTGAAATCTGCAAACAGGCCGTGTGCCCGAGCTGAGCTACAAACACGTGAAGAGCTTTAATCTAAAGTGAATGAATATTGAAAGGACTCGAGACAAAGAGAAGAGAACTAAAAGCTGTTGCAGAGAAGTATTTGCCTTCAAATGTTCAGCTAAAGTTATTTTACTACATTAAAGCTTCGGTTATTCTTTTTTTGATTTTTTTAAGATTTTTTTTTATTTTATTTTTAAGGAAAATTTTACTACATTAAAGCTTCGATTATTCTTCTTCTTATTATTTTAAAGATTTATTTTATTTTATTTTAAAGAAAAGTTCCCTTATTTTCAGATTATCCTCACACATTGTGGACACTTCGATGGGAGTGCATTTAAAAGTTTAGCATATCTATAAATAATACGTAAGTATAATTCATATACGAAATCAAACTGATAGCAAAGTATTTGCTACAGCCCTTCATTTTGCCTCCCCTCCCCAGCCCGCACCCTGATAGCCGTTGTTACCCTTTTCCATGCTCACTCACACGAAATTCAAACAAATGGCAAAGTTAAATTTGAAAATAATAGAAAAACTTTTTACAGTCGCTCTGGCAAACGGCAACAACAACAAAAACAACAACGGCGGCAATAAGAGCAACAGCCACAACAACAATAACAACAAGTAACAACAATAACAATAATGCAACTAAAATGAAACTATTTCGAGTGAAATAAATCTGTTAGAATGTGCAAAACTCCGCCAGCGCATTGCGGCGGCCATTTTCGGGGTGCAGCAACTATTGATGGAGCCGGAGCCGGAGCTGGAACTGGAGCTGGAGCCGGAGTAAGGTAAGGGCTGCTTTTCCCAGTGGAGCAAGGGGTGAGTACAGTTTGGGTTGTGGAATCAGTTTTATTGCCAAACGTGTTTGTTGCTCAATTTAACTAAAACTGCCGGCATCGTTGTCTGTCGACAAAAATATATCGAACAATGCAATTGCTAGACCAAGCAGATACCCTGCCAAAAGTCCGGTTATTATGGCAAATTATTAATAATAATAACAATAATAACAATAATAATAATAATAATAATAATAATAATAATAATAATAATAATAATAATAATAATAATAATAATAATAATAATAATAATAATAATAATAATAATAATAATAATAATAATAATAATAATAATAATAATAATAATAATAATAATAATAATAATAATAATAATAATAATAATAATAATAATAATAATAATAATAATAATAATAATAATAATAATAATAATAATAATAATAATAATAATAATAATAATAATAATAATAATAATAATAATAATAATAATAATAATAATAATAATAATAATAATAATAATAATAATAATAATAATAATAATAATAATAATAATAATAATAATAATAATAATAATAATAATAATAATAATAATAATAATAATAATAATAATAATAATAATAATAATAATAATAATAATAATAATAATAATAATAATAATAATAATAATAATAATAATAATAATAATAATAATAATAATAATAATAATAATAATAATGAAAACAGTTTCGTGACCGACAGCAAACACACATATATCTATATATCAAGCACAATATATATATATGATATATTATTTCTCTTACTAATCTAGTATATATATATATTTATATATATATTTTCTGAGCTGACTTTGTTTATTTTTGAAGCGATTTCTTAAATCATAAATCATCAACTAATATAACCCATTTAATGGCTTATTGGCCAGCGAGTAGAAAACTATTTGCTTATTGAACTGGTTGTCATTTAAACGAATGTTGTATTTATCATATCGAAATATATATTTATATTTTCGATTTTATATTTTTATATACATATATTAAACATTATTTTGCAATGGCGCGCTTCGGTTTCGGATTTTTCGTTTCATTCAGTTTGCGTGTTTTTTTTGTGCATTTGTGATTTGAAATCGATGCATAAATCATGAATGGTGTCATTGTCGGTTAGCTGGCGGCATTTATTGCCATCTGCGAAATAATATTTTTATTTTCTTGCGGCCTGTAAACATGGTCGGCGACTAACAAAAATATTTGCCCAATGAATATGCATGCAGCGACAACTTGAACAAAGAAACAAACAGCCAAGTGTCAACAATCAGCGTCGGGTCCCCCAAAGATCACCAAACTTTTTGGCCTAGAAAAAATGTGATAGGAGCTGGAGGAGGAGTGGGGAGGGGGTCTTACATTTGCCATGGCCAATTGCCTGGCAGGTGACGTGCCACTTGACAATTGCTACGTTTTCGATTTGCCGAAAAGTGGCAACAACTGGGTCTGGCAGCAGAAGGTGCCGGCACGCCCATTTCGACGGTGTGCTCAGTTCAACGCCCCCGCAGCGAGCGTCGACGTTTACGTGACTTGTTTCATAAACAAACAGCAGGCAAAACTGCACGGAAATTGCCAGCGTAGGTGGCGAATAACCTCGCAGACAGAGGGACGGACAGAGGGACAGAGAGGAGCGACAGGACAACGGCTGCAGGACACATTTTGACAATGCCACAGGCACAGGTGCCTCATTGGTTCGTGTGGCTACACTGCGAAAAAAAAAAACGGACTGAGTTTTGTATTTAAAAGGGTTAACAGGCATAACATATCGGTCCTCTTATCATTTGAAAATCTACCTCAATTAAGTAAAGGCAATTAAAGGGGATAATCATCTGCTTATTCCAAGTACATTTCATTGAAATGCGCTGAGTTCCTGTTCAAGCGGAATACATTTACACTCTCTTACACACAAAAATGTTCTTAAATTAAGTATGAGCTATCCTTCGTTTCAAAATTATTTCAATAATTTTCTTGCTAAAAAGAAGCTCAATGGAAATACAATATTTCTTAAATTTAAATATGAAAGAAAGCAATAATTGGGAATTTTGTACATGGTTCAAGAAATTCGAACTCTTGTCTGACAAACTTTTTATGGGATAACAGGCATATTATCTCGGTCTTCCTCTCTTTAGTACAATTCATTTTAAAATTTACCACAATTAAGTAAAGGCAATTAAAAGGGATAATCATTGGCTTATTCGAAGCACTTTTCATTCGTAAATAAGCCCTAATTGAAATGTGCTGAATTCCTGCTTAAGCAGCATATATTCACCCACTGCTGTACTTGCTATTTAATTTTTGGAAAAAAATATTCTTAAATTAAATATAAGTTATCTTTTGTGTCAAAATTATGAAACCCAGATAAAGTTTGTAGGCATATTATATCAAGAATTTTCTTGCTACAAAAAGCTCAATGGAAATTTACTAAATTAAAAGATTAAAGAAATAAATAAGTAGGAATTGTGTTCTTGGTTTAAGAAATTCTAACTCTTGTCTGACAAGCTTTATATATGTGAAGTTTGTAAAATTCTTGCTGACCTTTCTCTCTGTGTGTCTGCAAGTGTGTGTGTGTGTGTGTGTGTGAGCGTGTGCGTGTGTGGGTGACATTGAGCAAAGTTGCTTGCTGGCAATTTGCACTTTTGCATACAAGTTGGTAATTGTTTCCGCCAAATTCTACAGCTGCGCTCACATGGCTGGCTGGCCCCGGCCTGAGTGCAATTATGGCCGCGGGCCCATTTTAATCATTCAAAAGTCAGCGGGTCGTCAGCCAAAAGGGCAGCTGCGTCCATTTTTGGGGGCCTGTCATCTTTTGCATAACGCGCCGATGTCGTTTAACCGAGTTGTGCAACAATTCAGCGTACATTGCATTCAGCTCTAAATGAGACATGAAAAGACACGAAACTTTTCTCATTACGCACACACACACACACACACATAAGCCACTTATGGGCGCCCCTAACTTGTCGCACAGATACAATCAGGGTGCAGTGTGTTGGCAGGGGTAGGCAGGCAGGCAGGCGGGGATGCAAGTGCAGCCTGCTTGAGGGCAAGTCAACGATGCGGGCACCTGGAGACAGGTGAGGCTCCATGTGGAGCAGGCGAGAAGCCAAGTTTTGTGCCAGCAATTTTCGCGTCAAGGCGAAACTTTCAATGCATATTCAACATCATTAGAAAGTCAGGACAAAGTACCCCGGCTGACTGGCTGACTGGCTGGCTGGGCCATGATTTATGCCATGTCATCGTTTGGGCGTGTCAGTTAGGCGTTTATTCTCTTAAATATAGTGAGACAATGCTTTAATAAGTATAACTATTATAGATAAAATGAACACAAGGACAACTACATGATTTCGCAGGCACAGCAGCGACCAGTCGGTGTAGTTTCGGCACCTGGTTCGACTTCGCATTGATTGTGGCTCTTGGATCGCTTCTTCATCGACGGCTGCCGCTCCAGGTCGCCCACAGACTCGATGATATTGGGCAGCTGTTGCATGCCGCCTGTGACATCGCGCTCGGCGCGGGGAGCCAGCTCCAGCTGCGCCTCCGTCTGGGAATGAATGCAGCTCTCGCTCCAGATGCCATCATAACGCGCTCCGTACGATATGTCCTCGCCTGCGGCGTTGCTCCAGCGTGTATAGCCAACCACTGGGAGAGAATACATACATTTATATATATATATATATATATAACCGAGGGATGGGAGGCCACCTACATTCGTCGACTATTTTGGCGGCCAGCAAGCGGTTTGTTACGCCGGGCACAAAGTCGGGAGCCTCCGGATTTAGGCGTTTGTCCAGAGTGCGACTGCCGCTGGGCAGGACGCAGGCCTCATCCTCCTCTGACACAAGGTGACCCTCTGCCTCGGAACGTTCGTCCACATCAGTGGTTGTACCTACATCAATCCCTTCGCTATCGTTGCGCATTCTTCCTAAATTCTTATTCCTTGCAGTTCTGAAACAAATTTCCAATTAATACTACTTACATTCGAATTAATCTCCCTAAGCGAATGTTGGCAGCTTTTGCAAGGCTTTTTTTTTACCCCGAATATATATAAATATACAAGTGTGTCAAGAACCCAAATCCTTATATATATAGGTGCGCCTTATGATATCACAATCTGCACGCACTTCCCTTGTTGCCGATTTTTCGAAAAGCTTCAAGTTCCCAATGTTTGGGAGCTTAACAAAAAAAATGTATTCGAATTGTTTTACATTTAGCAGTTACATATTCTTCCCAATTTTTGAACACAATTTCAAAGCTATATACGAACAGAAAAGAGTTTTATATACATTTGAGCATAAAGCTGCCGTAAGGGTCTACATTTTATTTCGATTATTGTTCTCATGAAACTTTTGGTGAAACCATCCGAGAAACTGATATCCTTAGAATTTGCTGCCATATTCAGGTGAATAGAAATTGTGAAAATTCAGCAAATTATACTTTTTCGGAAATCGTGTTCACTGACTGCTTCATTGTTGCCAGCTGAACTAAATAATATTCTTTTGTATATAAATATATATATATATGTGTTTTCCAATAGGGCTACTGCAAAGCAAAACACAATGCAGCTAGTTTTAATGCTTTTGTGCTGTTTGAGCTGCTTTTGGGGGGCCACGCCCACAAATGTAAACAGCAACTATTGTATATAGTACATATATTGCATGTAAAAGCGTTGCCCAACACGGAGCATAAAATAAAAATGCCGTGCATCGGGACTTGCCAAATATTTTGCCAAGCCAAATAAATCCATTTCAATACCGTCGAGAGAGCGAGCGAGAGAGAGCGAGAGAGAGTCGAAAAATATAAAATGTTATATTGAGTAACCGAAACCCGATCCGAATCGATATGAATCGCTGCGTATTTGAGAGTATTAGTGGATTAGGGAGTGCAGCGAACTCACAAAAGCGCCAGAACTATGCGAAACCGCATAAACAACAACGTAAATAAATCAATGTAAACAATCGAAACAGTTGTCGGTAAAATTGAAATTTGAAATGCAACGCTGCAGTTGCCCGTTCCTCGTATCTTTCGTGTTGGCAACCCTGCCCCCTTTTCTACCCTATCTACATATGAATTCTGGCAACAACTCATGGGAATAACAATTTGAAATGAAACACGAAAATATAACTCTGGCCCAAGACAATAAGCGTTAATTGACAAATACCTCGACGTAGCTGCTGGCTAGTCGAGTATGCATTACACAACACTGGCAGCTGCCAATGATGCCAAGTCCAAGTCTCGCAAGGAAGCCTAACAGTAAAACTGAAGAGACTGTGTGTGAGTGTGTGTGTGTGAAGCTTCGAGTCGCACAGTGGACTTCATAGTCTCTTTCGTGCTTAAATTTATATTAATTTGAATACTCTATATAACTATAGCTAAGTCTATATTTATATCTATAGTATTACATTTTACAACACTGGCAGCTGCCAATGCTGCCAAGTCCGAGTCTCGAAAGGAAGCCGAACAGTAAAAATATAGAGACTGTGTATGTGTGTGTGTGAAGCATCTACGCTTCGAGTCACACAGTAGGCTTCATATTCCTTTTCACTGATTAAATTTTTAATAATTTGAATACTCTATATATCAATATATTTATCTATATCTATATATCTCTTTCAATATTTTTCATCTTCATCTTTAGCTGTCTTAAAAAACATTCCATTCCCATTGTCTTTTGATTCTCATCAACTCTTTGCTAACAAATTTTTGGTGTAAAGTCAGAGATTGTCTGTCCGTGGGTGCGGCATCATGTGACACGTGTCATGTGGCACTGCAGCAACTGGGAGGGCAGGGACAGAGAGCAGGAGAAGGAGAAGGAGAAGGAGAAGGGGAAGCAAATGCCAACGCATGTTTTGTGAGTGCTGAGAATGAAGGCGAGTAAAATGAACTGCGCATGGAACAAAGCCTTGCCAACGGACAACTCAAATTCAGTTGCTGCCTGCCTGCCGACTTTCAAGTTTCAGTTAACAGCGGCAACAACAACCGGCTGGAGGGAAGGGCGGAGGGAAGGCGGGGGGAAACGTGGCAAGTGCCATGTCCAAGTGGCATGTTAACGCTCTGTCCGGTTCTGCTGGTTCTGCCATTTCACACCGCGTAGATTTTATGTACTGTGGAATCTTCAATGCGCCAGCCCCAAAAAACTTGCGCAATAAAATAAAGTAATTAAAAACCGCAATTTCCAGACCCGACACCGACCCCATCCTCTATCCCCATCGAGAGCTGCCCCTTGAGAATTGGCTAATCTGCCGCGCTTTTATTGAGGAAATACAAGTAGGTGAATGTAAATATCTGCTGTCGAGCAGGTGGCGTTAGCCAACCCCAAGCTAAAAAAACATTTTTATGATGGAATTACAAATTTTAATGTTTGCTTGTTTGTAATTAAATTTGCTTTTGTTGTCGCGCCGTGTTTATAGTAACTTTTGCTGTTTTATGTGTGACTTTTATGGGCGTGACACGTGAGCTATTTTTATGACATTGAAACGGAAGCAGTTGCCGTTGTCGTTGTCCTTTTTCAACTTTTTAATCACGCAAATACGCCTAGCAGGCTAGTGAAATTTTAATTAAAATAAATTGCCGTCAAATTGGCTGCATTGTTGCCGTCGAACCGAACTATAAATGTCAGTTGTCCGCTTTAAAATGCTACCAAAATTGAATGTAATTGCCATTGATTGCAGCTTAGAAGATTTGCGGGTCGATATGTGGGTCACATCAATGCAGTACTTGCAGTTTGAATCGATTTGCAACACTGCTGGTAAACTTTGTCCAAGTTATGCACAGAATCAACATTTATATTGGTGCTTGTAGCCACACTTCCTTTCTGTTGCAGCTTAGAAGAATTGCCGGCAGTTAACCAATCGATATGTGGGTCACATCAATGCAGTACTTGCAGCTTGAATCGTTTTGCAACACTGCTGGCAAAATTTGTCCACGTTATTCACAGAATCAACATTTATATTGGTGTTTCTTGTAGCCACACTTCCTTTCTGTTGCAACTTAGAAGAATTGTTGATGATTGCGGGCTGTTAACCAATCGATATGTGGGTCAGACCAATGCAGCTCGAACCGTTTTGCAACACTGCTGGCTAAGTTTGTCCACGTTATTCACAGAATCAACATTTATATTGGTGTTTCTTGTAGCCACACTTCCTTGATGTTGCAGCCTAGAAGAATTGCTGATGATTGCGGGCTGTTAACCAATCGATATGTGGGTCAGATCAATGCACTACTTGCAGCTTGAATCGTTTTGCAACACTGCTGGCAAACTTTGTCCAAGTTATTCACAGAATCAACATTTATATTGGTGTTTCTTGTAGCCACACTTCCATGCTGTTACTTTTCTTGGTTGCGTCGACAAGTGTGAAGGGAAAATATCTCAAAGGTTCAATTCAGGCAACTCGCCCACAAACTTAAGCACAACACTGGCTTTGGCCCAGACCTAAATGTAAACAGCGAAACTGTCAGAAGTGACTGCAAACTTTTTGCCAACAATAAGTTAAACTCGTCGTCGCCGTCTTTTTTTGCTCTGCTGCTTCCCTCCCATGCTGCAGTCCGGGAGGCGCCAATGATGCCACAAAACTGTGCGGCACTTTTGCCGTTTGCCACGGTGCGGCATTCATCAATGAATAGACAGATCCCTGAAAATTCCAAATGTATACAGTGTATACACTCCACTCGACACACGCACTGACGGCTGCCCGCAACATGTCAATTTGTTGCGTATACGCCGCATGGGACAGCCAACAGCTACGGCTACGGCTACGGCTGGTGGCCAAATAAAAGCCAACGCATTTGCAATTGCCTTTCGGTGCGCGAGTGTGCGCGGCATAGCTATGAAATGCTCGGGAGTCCACGGCAATTTCCGGCCAAATAGAACGCATTCGCTATATATAAAAAACTTTATTTAATTCACATTTCAAATAATTCATTTGAAGACAATGACACAATTTCGCGTAGGCTTGGCGTTTGCTTTACTGGCCGCCCCATAAATTATAAAACATTGTGGACAGGTAAAAAAAAGTGATAGGTATGTCAATATAACCTCATTTTATTGCTGCTGCTCAAATTACGCGCACATTCGGCATTCGGCATTCGATTTGCTGTTCGCTCGACTTTGTTTTGACTGTAACTCAATCAGGTCTGACCCTTTGGCGCTGGCGTTGGTGCTGTCTCAATGACACATGCCAATTATGGATATGTATTTTTTATGATGTTTAACGTATTCAGTTGATTTTCATTTGACCTTTGCCGGGCAATTTGCTGGCTCTCGTCAATGTGTCCTTGGCACTGTTGATGAATCATTTAAAAGTGAATTCATGTCATTTCCGTCATTATTTGCTCAGAGGAAAGGGAAACAGAGTGAAACTGTTGGAGATAGCGAGGGACGGCTGGCAGTTGAAGGAAGCGAAAACAATAAGCAAATGTAAATCAACAGAATGAAAAAGACATTCAAGTTGTCAGGCGTGGCGAGAAGGAAAAGCGGCCAGATTATTAAATCCCTACATGACAATCGACAGCAGCAACAACAACAACATGAATGAGATCCTTCAGCCACGGCGACGACAGCATTGTCAGCCCCAGTTTATTATCAGGATGCCTCAACAAGGACACGGCCAGCAGTCAATAACGCCAAAGTGGAACCCGTGTGGAAAGTGTGCGGCGTGTGGCACTCATATATGCTCAGAAACAATTATGATTCCTTTCGATATTTCTTTCGCCTTTTTAAATTAAAGGCAATTATCCTTATGTACATTTTTCAGCATGAACTGACAGCTGCCAATTGCTGCAGACAATATTCAGATGCCTGTCGATCAGCCGCACCCATTTTTTTTAATTTTCTAATAGCTCTGTTTTCTGCTGCAAAAGAGAATCCACAATTCAGAAACAATAATTGTTCGATAGAAGAAAAATATCATTGAAACGAAAGTTTGATAGAAAATCAAAGAAATAATCAGAAAACAGGTCATATTTATATTAAATGATAAATATCTTGAGGAAGATTTAAAAACTATTGTCAATGCGGCCCTATAATAATTATTATATTACTTCATTATTTATATCGGATTTTATACTATAAGTTTTTATCAGCGAGGGTATTTAATCTTCGACTCAATAATTTTTTCACTGATTCAAGTTTAAGTGAAGGCTTTAGTAGCAGCTTTGAATAGTTGGAAGAAAATTGTTATTGAAACTAAAGTTTAGTAGAACATCAAAGAAATATACAGACAACGCGGCATATTTATATTAAATGATAAAAATCATGAGGAAGACTTAAAAACTATTGTCAATGCTGCCCTATAAGCTCCTTATAATACTTTTATTTTTATTTATTGCGGCTTTTATACAAACGATTTTTGTCAGCAAGGGGATTTGATCTTCAACTCAATAATTCTTTGCCAGATTCTATTTAAAGTGAAGGCCTTGCCAACTTCTTTGAATATTGTTTTATCTTTTGAATTGAACTTTCACTCTTTACCTATGAATGAAGTGTATTTAGAGCACTCATTCGGCACGATTCGAAAATAAAAAAAGCCTAGTTACTTTAAGGACTAGGCTAATAACATTTCGTTGCCGCAAAAGTCGAGCGCTCTCGCTTTCATTTCTTTGAAAGCATCAAACGAAACTTGTGCGGAAAATCAGTTGCTTCGGTTTGAGTTCGTTTGTAAGAAAGTTTTCTTTCGACTGAGGCTCGCTTCGATTCGCAAATGCTTTTCACTTTTTGCCCAAGCTCAACTTTCAATGCGTTGACTCAAGTGCCGCAATTTAATTTGCCTTCACTGTTGGCTGTTTGCTGACTGATTCAGCCGGTTTCCGATTTGGCCAAATTGTTCAACATTTTGCCCAAATAGGTATGCAATAAGTTTTTGGGGTTTTCGTATAAAACAGCAAGTTTGCTGCTTACCACATTATTTTATGCTTCACAAATTAAATACATTTTCCTAGCTTAAGAAAATATATATAAAATATGCATAGGGAGATGAGTTGTGTGTGTGTGTGTGTGTGTGTGTGTGTGTGTTGTCTACTTTGATTGTTGGGCTCTAGACCGCATTATTTTGTTTTTAGTCATGCTTTTTGCAGTGGCCAATAACAAACACAGCATGGAGCTGCCTGCTCCTTAGTGAAACCTTATACTGAATGTCCTTTGTTGTCCCTTTCCTGCATTTAGAATTCAATTTATTACACGTCCGAATGCAACTGACTTGCAATATCTGCAACAAATTACAAGCCAACTTTCCTACATTATTAACCATTTTTAATTGACGAACGTTTATTCGTACAATTTCTTACTTCCTGCGTCAACTAATGCAAAGCATTTATTATTCAAATTGCCATTTATTAAACATATTTTCGGAGTATTTTAGCAATTTTAATTTGTAAGCAAATGCTT